GTTGGGCGGTATATACCCCGGTCCAGGCCGATGAAATCAAGTTGAACGTTGGGGACATGGTGGAAATTGAGGAGTCGTTCTCAGATGGTGAGTAGCTTTGTTCCGCATTTCAACTCATACGATTCAATTCGCTGACCAATTTCTTGCGTGTTGTTTAGGTTGGGCACGGGGCATGAATTGCAATACCAGGCAAACAGGGGTTTTCCCGCTGGCATGCCTGACGGGTCCGAGTCAGAACAGGGAATCTACTCGCAGCGCAGTTCGGGTAGGAGGACGGGTCGCTAGTATGCGATTGGACACGAAGTAGTAGAACAGATTGCTTTGACTGATCTGAAAGTATAGATAGGTACCGATGTAGACAGTAGACATAGAGGGGCAGTATCCCCCAATAATTATTCTCCATTTGTCCAAGAGTTATACTTGAACGCGTTCATTCTGCAGCAGCTCAGATCCTGGGCCGATGAAACAGTAGATATTCGTGGCGGTCGAGATGAGATGACAACGACCATCACTGTAACTCCGCTCCAAGTTCTGCCATGCCAGTCCTACACTTTTCCTTCATGCAGCGTCTGCTACGCCAAAGTTACAGTGCAATCATTGTCGCTGACTGCAGTGTGCTCGAGGTGCCGTGCAATACACAATTCGGCGGATGTGGAGCCTCGCTATCGGCTGTCGATGCTGGTTGCGCATGCAGAATCCATTCAAAGAGGTGCGGCAATTTGAAGAGTTATTTCAATATCTGGTCCCTAGTATTTACATGATGCAAAACCTCACATGCAGTCACGGCCTTCGGTGGTAGCTTGAGCCGCCTATTCGGCGTAGACGCTCGGACCTTCGCCGGCTCTCAGGATTGTGCTGATCACAAGAACGCAACAGCCGCATTATCGCACATTCTTGTTGGGTCTCGTCTGTCCATTACCATTCCATCAAGATATGTCAAACGCAAGCAAGTGTTCGACCCGCAGAAGGTTAAGAATATGTTGGCAACCGCAGACACTATGGACTCAATTGTCAATACGCTCGCTGCAGGCTTTGAAGCGGTGCAAATTAGACCAGATGCTCTTGTGAGCGATGTGCGACCAGTGTTGGGGTTCCCGACAGATGTTATTGGCCTACTGTTTCCGCCCAGCTCACCAAAGGATGAGTCGGAGTTACGAAGCGCTGAGACGGCAGAACAGGAGCGACCTCACTGTACCGAACTCTCGCCGGATGTGGTGCGGGAGTATTGGACCGATGAAGATGCATGTTTTACCTTTGAGGAAATACCTCTCTCAGCGTTTTTGGCAGGGGATGAAGCAAGAACTGGGTGCACGGACATGCCATCCAATGAGGTGGATGATATTAATACCTTCACTACCACGACGGAAGAGTCGGAAACTTCACAGGGTTGCACTTCCCTATTATCGGACGACGAACTTGTTGACATGCTTTGTCAATTACAGCTTACCCAGAGTAGCGAATCGGTAAATGGGAGCCCAACGAGACAAAGCTCCGGCGATGTTTCAATGGAATTGTATGATATTGACGAACACGATGACGCTGCGTTAATCGACATGCTGGAAGCGCTTGCCCTTTAGCTGGGTGGAGACCAAGGATAGCAGGAGCATGCGGACGACGATTCTTATCCCACCATAACCTGATAATCAGTCGCCCGTACGTGCTTGCATCGCTGTTGGAGACTTTTTGGACCATATCGTGTTAACGATAACGCGTTGAATTATTTTTAAGTTTTGGACCGATGCCTCGACGCGCAACGGAGACGAGGATACGCATGCAGGGGCGGACGATGTGACGATGACGGCAGCCTCGTCTCTAGTAGCGGAGCTCATACGGCGACGAGTTCAAGAAACACCCAACGCCACTGCCATCCTCTGGTGCGCTGCGACGGAGCGAGCGCAAAACATAAAACGATACACGTACGAAGAGATATGGGGAGACTCTTCACAAATTGCAAATGCGATCAAGGAACGGCTGTGTTCGTCCAGTCTGCCGACAAGCGATGAGGGTCTCCCACCAAGAATCGGAATTGCTGTGGATGAAGGGGTTGAATTGCCAATCCTCATGTTAGCCGTTTTGATGATATCACCTGCGGCCGGTTAGTACCAGGAATATGTGTTCTCGTTGTCCAGTCACTTGCTTACCCTTGCACATGGTAACAGCCCTGGTTCCCGTCGACCTTACTGATCCGCGACTGCCTTTAATTGTTGAAGATGCCGAGCCGGCATTGGTAATTGTCGCAGACGATGAGGCGAAGCACCTTTATCTACGAGCGACCTCGCGTGATGATACTGCTGCTGCCCATTGCGTAACTGTGAACGAGCTTCGCCAAAGCGCAACAGCACGTAATGATGTGGATTTTCAAGACGTGCATCCTCAGGCCATTGATGAAGTGTCCCATATATACTTCACCAGTGGGAGCACCGGGAGACCTAAAGGTATGCTCATGATGGCCTGCTTCTCCTTCGAGGGGAGAAACTGACATCCAGGATACAGGCTGCATTGCCACCAACCGTGCCCTAACGTCGTATTGCCTGGCGAAGAACTTGGCCCATGATGTCGTGGCGAATAGTACAGTATTTGTGGCGTCAACTCATACATTTGATCCCTCCCTGGGAGACTTCGTATCAGCATTGGTAGCAGGAGCAACCATCGCTATTGCTCCCAAAGCCGCCATATTTGCGGCACTGGCGCAGTATTTATCGCTCACAGCTGCAACACATCTTTTGACTACGCCATCCTTGTTCTCTACCATTGATGACGTGGGTCCACGCGATCTTCCATCCTTAAAAGTCATTGCGCTTGGGGGTGAGCCAACACCACAAGCTATTGTTACCACTTGGGGCAAACATGTAAAGCTGATCAATACCTATGGAGTGACGGAATGTTGTGTTTATCAGGCAGCATGTGTCCTGCGAGATGGCGTTCATCGAAAATGCATTGGAGAACCACTATCAGGAAATCGGATACTGGTTATGTCAGCTAGAGGCGGACATGAACAGATACCTCATGTGGATCCATTGGATATGGTACCTGTTGTAGGGTCGGGACGCCCAGAGAGACCAGAAATCGGAGAGATTTGGATATCTGGGGCGCAAGTTGGGAATGGCTACCTAAAGCGGCCAGAGTTAACCGCACTTAAGTTCATCAATCATCCAGATTACGGGAGATGCTTTAGAACTGGCGATATAGTTGTCTGGGATCAACCCAGCATGGACTGGAAACTTTTGGGGAGAATTGATACCCAAGTGAAGATTGCTGGAAAGCGCGTAGAAGTTGAGGAAATCGAACACTCTCTGATGTCGGAAGCGACGACTGCGCTTCTCACTTCGGCTGTGGTTGTCTTTCACCGGTCCAAAATTTTGGTGGCATACTGCGTACCACAGAATGCAGATATTTACCTCGATGGACGAGAAGAGGTGCGCAAACCAGGGGAGCTGCTGAACCAGTACTTGCGATATCTTTGTGAGCGCGCTCTTCCGCGACACATGGTCCCAGTGCGCTTCATTCTCGTCAGAGGCTTACCAAGGACAAAGACCGGCAAGTTTTCGCGTAAGGAGCTGGCTGAACTTACACTTGGGCCTACTTGTCACGGAGATGATGATGAAGATCACGGAACGGATACCTCCCGCCTCGGTGGATGGTTGGATCTGGTATTGAGAGTCTGGTCCGACATGCTTCAAGGTCCTATGCGACGATCGGATCACTTTTTGGAACGTGGTGGTGATTCTTTGACGGCGCTTAAGGTTTGTCAAGTGCTAGCGAGAGAATTTCGTTTAAGGCAACAAGGTAGCGGTGAGGCACTTGATCAATGTGAGGGCGCTTTTGGAGAACTTTTGGGTGCGCTCGCCCCAGGGGAATTACTGAAACGACCGACGCTGGAGGACTATGCCGCTTATCTCTACGAAAGCCTTGGTCCCGTTGAAACCAACGTTGGGCAGACGACAGGAGATAATCAACAGCAGGAGCTCCCACGCCATGAAAGCACCTCTGCGGTTGAGACTATGGTCTACAAAGCGGCAGGGCAAGGCGCTGTGTCAGTTTTGAAGCACATACTGGAGGTAATGAAAGTGCATCCGGATGGGACCCTGAAAGGAACCCGAGCTACTGGTTATCGAACAACTCCACTTCACTGCGCGGCCGTTAATTCTCACTTGGAAACCTGCCAACTGCTTATAGACCATGGCGCTTCACTATCGGCGTTGGATTCGAACGGCGCCACACCGCTACACCTCGCCTGCCAAAACGGGAGTCCTGCTCTGATTTCCCTACTCATGGCACGCCTGAATCTATCTTTAAAGAAAGGCAGAAAGGCCGTTCAGCATCCCCTTCTCAGACCTGATGTCAACGGCCAGCTTCCCCTACATCACGCGGCGCGCGGAGGAGCATCACCAACTGTCATCGACGTGATTTTGGAATGGTCCCCTGACTCAGCAGCAATGCTCACGCATAGAGACAAATGGGGTCGCTTACCATTGCATTGGGCAGTTGTAAACGGGCATCGCGACACGGTCAGGGCCTTCATTAACTGGGGTTCTGACCCTAAAGCAGCTGACGCCGCTGGCGAAACAGCAATGGATATTTCTGAACGAAGGGCGCGATGTGGGGATAATGGACGAGATGGAGCCAGACCCAGTGTATTCGGAGACATTTCGAAGCTGATGGGTGGAAGCGGCAAGACCGCTAACGTGGGAAGATTTTTGGACAAAGCTAGTGCGCTTAAGTAATTTTGAGTTTTGATAGACGACGTAGAGTTGACTGGGATTCATATTCGTTAAAATCGGTAGTTAGGACTTACAAGCACCTCCACATATGGATGATCGTTTGCAGCGACTCCATCATGCTCCATCTCAGCATATTGAGTAGACATTCTCTCACAGCACTCCTGACTCCCGACCATTCACTATTCCAGCGAAGCATGAGTTTGTTGAGTTTGATTGAAGACAGTGCGACCGCACACAATTGACGTTATCAGTTTGTCAGACTTTGACTGGACACGGGTTGCCCGTATAGCACAGTGGCAGTGCGTCTCCCTCGTAAGGAGAAGGCCCCAGGTTCAATCCCTGGTGCGGGCATACACTTTTGGTCATTGCATCCTCATTAATTTTGTTTGAGGACTGGGCAACTAGATAGATAGCTATATCAGGGCACTGTATAAAACCTCTGTACGTAGAAACCACTGATCCTGGGCTAATGTGGGGGGGTATGATCTCTGACAATGAACGAAAATCGAAGAGACCGTCGCTGTGTTTTAAGGATGGCTGCTGCTGACAGATTCTGGAAGGGCTGGACGGCAGGTAAAGAGACAGCAGGTTGTACCAGTCGCATCATATTTGAAAGCGCTTGTTATACAGTTCTGTGAAACAGTGTCAAGCAACAAAAGAAATGCGAAAAGTTTCCAAAAGCATTTGGAAGAAAAATATGCCCGCACCAGGGATTGAACCTGGGACCTTCAGTTTACAAGACTGACGCACTGCCACTGTGCTACACGGGGTTTTTCTGCTTGAAGCCGGCTCTTACGTCTGAGATATCGAAGTTCTAACAATAAAGGGGGATAGCGCAAGTTCAGCGATGGCACTGTTTAGTGGTCTTCAACTGTCGCCTTCCTTTCATAATCATAAGGTGGCACAGTCATGCGCGCGAACATTTCTCGTCGCGCGAGCGGACTTTGCGGCAGTGTTGGCGTTTAAAACGAGACCATGCCGACACCCGAGAGAGGTAACCGTATGTGCGATTACAGCAGCACTTGATGCAGAAGTGAGTGTTGACCTACAGTATGCCAACAGTATGTTTGGGCCCGCAGCGTGTGCGGTGATGGGCTTTTGGTCGACGCTAATGCGCCAAATGCAAAATTGTTAAAAGCCCTGTTCAAGTGCAGTAAATTTCTCACTAGGGTTAGCAAAAAATGTGTACATTGCCTGTAATGCAGCTTTGTTCCGATGTGTGGTGCTCCGAGTTCATCAGTCGCAGGCAACTCCTTACACTCGTGATCTGAAAGCAAGTGCTTCTGGATCTATAATGGCTTCAACACTTGTGATGAATTGTCTGTTAGATGCAGCGTTTTGGGGGTTTCTCACTCGCCAAACAAACTTGAGTTAACCGCCCCTTAAATTAAGAGTTCAGTTTTAGGTTATACCGTGCAAAAGGCACTACCTGCGGCGGCGCTCGGATATTTACTTTGAGACCCACTAACACACAAATGACATCCATAGTGACGATTTCGCATAATGGGACGGCTAACCAGTCAGGGGCACCTCCACAAATGGGGGGCCAATTTAAAGTAGCTCACAAAATCAATGATCTATTAGCTAACACCGGACTACTGAGTCCGTTCGGAGGGCGCCTCTATAGTACATGATTGATGACCCGTTCCAATGTCCAATGGCCTGTTGCCTCTCCCCCATCCTGCGTCCTTCCCGCGGTCCAACTGTGACTTGGCTTTCAATGAAGTCATATGTGGCCGCCGATTTATATGAATTCCTTGAAAGCCAATGATCAGGGACGGGCAAGTCCAAGAGTAAGTCCTATCCGACAATTCCCCGGATTCCGCTACGCAACATTCCCGATTAGTGCGCGATCGTCCTTAGAATCATCAGAAAGCGACTTACCGCACTTTACGGCCGAAATGGGGGAGCGCTTGGGGCGGGGGGGAGAAGACAGCGAGCGCGAGCGGGAGCGGGAACTGTTGGTGGAGCTGGAGGTTCGGGTTCGGGTCAACTGTATCAGAAGCGGAGGAGCACGTCGGCTTTTCATCTTCATCATTGGTAGGGTTCGGGTTCGATGGGGCGGGGGACGGGGAGCGGCCAGTGCGAATGGCACTCGCGTTTCCAACAACAGTGGTGTTGTTGTTGCCACGGATGACAACCAGCGACGGACACGTCCATGTGTTGGGGCTTACGCCCATCTTGCGGGAAAGAATCACTTTCCCAGCATCCAGCTACGTAATATGCAATCGAACCAGGATTAGTGTTCGATCAAGTGACCGTACGCGAACCGAACGCGACTTACCGAGCGCCGGAACTTTGTTTCGACCTTCCGCCAATGGCACGCCCGCTTATAGAGCTGAATTAGCTCTTCGTAGACAACCGCCGGCAGCACCCCCTTCGCCTCCTGACTTTCTATGAAGTCATCTGTGGCCCCAGACTTCATGAAAGCCAGGAATGGCCCTGATTTTGCGGCCCAAGGCCGACGACAGGACCTGTTTGTCGCGCCTGGAAATGGCGCTCATTTTGTTATTATTTATCCTGCTGGCCAACAGGCCGATGACAAGCAAGACATGGTGGTTAACTGAGAGAAAACGGGGGATCTCCCCGTCGCCCTTGCTTTTAAAGGATTTCTGTGGGAACTTTGAAGGGTCTTTAACACGGTGGCACAGTCATGAAAGGCCACAGGCTTTACAGGCCCCGTGACAGGCGTGTCTAATTACACACGTGACCTAATTGAACACGTGATTCCTTAGATTAAAGTTTGGCGACTACACCCCCAACCCTGCGGGATGTCCGACGGGAGTGCTTAGGTAATGGAGTACGTCAGTACATGCGAAGTTTTGTTCCCCAGCACATTTTGGCCGCACATTCAGAGAGCATACGCGGATGCTCCTACGAAGGTACACAGGGATGTCCTGAAGGAGTCACGTCAATGTAGTCCCGCTACACATCCTTGGGGACATCCGTCGGAGCTGCTGGGTTAGTATGTGCGAGGGGACATTCACAAGGATCTGCGCTGCATGTCGACTCTGCGGAGATCCCCCGGACATCCGTCCGTTTGCCACGTCCGTTAGCAACGTCCGTTTCCATGGCATTTGCCTCCCTCCAACAGTTCAACTCGCGATTTTCTTCCAAGTTCATTTTCCACCCAGAACACATCACGATTCCTTGTCGAGATCGCTGCTTTCCTCTTCCTCCAAACCCATTGGCTCCGCGATACCGTCTTCGATATCACCGAAACCATGTCCGAGGATACTGAGTTTCGGTGATATCGAAGAAGGTATCACGGAGCCAATGGGTTTGGAGGAAGAGGAAAGCAGCGATCCCGGCAAGGAACTGTGATCAAGGCAGTCATATCTTCGACGTATATGAACACTGATGCTGTATTATAATGCAATATTATTGTCGGTGTAAGCAGCATCCAGCGGTAAACCCAGTATGCAGGGAACCCCTGATGAATGCCCTGGTAAAAGGTATCTGGGCGCACATCCACAGGATCTCCGCAGGAGCTCTGACGCTACAAAGCTGGATGTCCCACGGAGATCATGGCCTTGGAGTGCTGACGGAGATCGAACTGAAAATGTACGTCGGACGTCTGACGGTATGCCTTTTACATGCGCTCGGACATGTCCCACGGGAGGGAAAAATGTAGGTCCGCTGGGTGTGCGGCAGGGTTAGGGGTGTATAAAACGCAGCCGCGTCGCAGCGCGTCCTGTTGAGATCCAGTGCACATCAAAGCACGACCTCTTGCGACCTCTGGCACCAGCAAGCATGTCAAGATTGATTTCGGCCGTGTCCACTCAGCCGGCGCCCAAACTCGCAGGTGAGGAATCGTTTTCCATCAATTAGATAGGGGTAACTCCCACAACGCTGCCTCGATGCTTCACGGTGGTACGTCTTGCGCTCTAAGCGTTCGGTAGACTTGTCCCAGAAGGATGCCCCAACTTCCTGGCGCAGGACAAAGTGGAGTACATCTAGTGAAGGTTCCCGTTTGCCCGGTCCAAGATGCCTCCGACCAACCCTTGTCGGCCAAACCGCATCGTTGAAGCCGTGTGGTGAATCTCTTCTGGAAGCCAACGATGTTTGCCAATGTCAGGGTGGGCCAATTGTCGGTTTTATCGGGACTCTGGTTGCATGAGCGAGATCACACATGAGGGTTTGCAGTCTATCTCGCTGGCATTGAAGGAACATCGTCGTTGGTGAACGAAGATGACCGTGGGCGTATGAACAACAGGCAGGCCCCAGCTGAGCACCAAATGTTGAACCCCTCCGGCATTTGCTCGCCTGAAGAGGTCTCGCGCCCAACGGATGCCCCATACACTTTAGAATGGTTGCTTTGCACTCATTCTATCAATTTACTCATCATTCCTCTTCCCCCCTTTTTTTTCTCTTCATCTTTCTTGACCGTGACCTGACACGATGAATACTCTGATATTGATGATTTTGCGAGCGCCTTTGTCCGGACATACATTTTGTATTTTTGCATATCAATATAACTTGACAATGATGACAATTGGCATGTCTACACATTACTCAAATAGATGAACCCTGGTTTGAATGAGCCGAATTACAGCAGATCAACGCAGCAGCATGTACAAGTTCATCGTGATCAAGCTCAAGCGGAGAAAATGTCTACCGCCTTCGATGCAAGCACCATTGATGAATGTCGAGACCAACGTCATCGACCTTGTTCTCACGACTGTGTCGTTCAAAGGTTTAAAAGTCCGGCTGTTTCTGGGAGACGGCGGCATGGCACCTCCTCTCATCAAACGCCCAACGTCGCATCGCACCCATCCCGAATTTCAGCGCCAGGAAACGGGAAACCATCTCCACCTGTTTCACGGCTTCTCCAAAATTGCCTCATTCGGAGAGGAGCGGAGGTTGGCTGTCGGTGTCGCAGACGGTACGGGTGGCGATCGTGCTGCGACGAGAAAACGCTCGCAGGCCATACGTTTGACGAATAAGATTGATAGCATCGGATAGATGGGTATGACTGAAGTCGGCAATAGCAAGCCTTTTGCGAAACCCTTCTCCTACATGTACAAGTCCGAGAGCATTATCAATTGAACTCTTCAACAACGCGAACGAAAAGCTTTGGCGCCTCCAATTGCACCCCAAACATCACCAGCAGAAGCATGGAGACCAACGACAGCCCTCCAGCCAGCGTGCAATGAAGCAAACCGAAAAGGCAGGTCATCAATCAGTCCTTTTTGCACCTTTCGGCGCCATGCCGTCAGGCACCCCTGCCCCCTCATGGTAACAGGGTCCGCACCCGCCAGAGGAAATCTCTGATAGTGGTCAGGGAACACATCCAATGCGACAAGCACCTCACCTCAAACTTGGCTGCGACATCCATGTTCAGGCTCATATGTGGGAGTCAAGCACTGGAATCTGCGGTCATTGTGAATTGGCACAGCCTGGGCATCTTATGTGATTAAGTAAACAATGGACATATCCGGACACTTCCGTAAAGTTTTAATCAAAAAAAAACACGCGTATTCGCACTACAATAACGACTGTGCCTACAAGACTGCTCACTTACCAGCCAAGCTATTGCTGCTCATCTCACTAATCTCCGGCAACTTGATACGCATTTACCCAGGTCATCGCACAACCTTTATCCTAATAGATTCACCATGGGCGCTATCTTGAAGTCTTCAACAGGGTGGCACAGTCACAAACGACGCAGCAGTCGCTTACGTAAACGGTATGCAGTGCGCATTCAAGTATCTTGTAAACTGCGGGCTGCATATGTACATGTAGGCACTACGGGCTACCTGTACTGTAT